TTTCTCATATTATTTTTTTTATGTGGTATTAATTTTTCAATATTTAAAAACTATATTAAATACTAATTAATTCGTAATCGAGTTGGATCAAATCCCATATAAAGAAAAATTCTTTCAATATTTATTTTTTTATTTATAAAAATCAAAATCAAAATTTTAATTAAAAGCAATCGAATTCTTCCGCTTGAACCAATAACGTATTGATATTTCTCATGTTAATTAAGCAAGTGAAAGGAGGACCAATAAAAAAGGTGTTGCAATGTACCAAAAATAATAATAATAAAAAAAAGGGTATTGCTTCTTCTCGGAAAGAGCACACTGGTGATAAGTATTTAGTTTAGTAATGGTTGCTGCCGGATGGTTGACTCTGAAGACTCGTTCTACCTTCTGCTTTCTACTTTCCATATGCCCTTTTTTTGGATACTAGAAGCAACTGGACCCGTAGTCCTGGGGGAAGAAAATTCCATCCATATTCTCTAATTTCTTAACCATGGAATCATTGATTGTCTCGCCTCTCCTGGAAGTGGTGTGCGATAAGCTAGCTTCACATTTTTCCGGTAGAGTTCGAGCTCATAGGGATTTCAAGGAAGAGGCCAAGAAGCTGCAGGACACGTTGCAGATGATTCAAGCTGTGATGGAGGATGCAGAGCAGAGACAGCTGAGGGACAAGAAGATCAGGGTTTGGCTTTCAATGCTCAGGGACGTAGCCTATGATGCTGATGACCTCCTGGAAGAGTTCCGGACTCAAGCCCTGCGCAAAGAGTGCTTGAAAAGGCGGCATAATCGCAATATACGCATGAAATTCATGACCAAGGTTCGATTGACTTACCTGAGTCTTGAATCAGTTCCTAGTTCCCTTCGCATGCCTTGGAAGCTGAGGAAGATTCGAGAGAGATTGGATGATATAGCCAAGGACATGAACAGTTTCCAATTCAAGGAAGCCACTGCGTATGATGATACCGAGAGTAGAGATAAAAGAGAGACTGGACCTTGCATGGATGAATCCCAAGTTTATGGCAGAAATGATGATCTGGACATGATACTCGATATGTTGTTAAGGAGCAATAGTGGCGGTAGCAGTTCACTGGATCCTTCTGTTCTGGCAATAGTTGGGATTGGGGGCATTGGGAAAACAACTCTTGCTCAATTAGTCTATAATGATGAGAGAGTAACAAAGCACTTCGATCTGAAATTGTGGATATCAGTGTATGACAATTTTAATGTAAAGAAGCTCACCGTGGAGATGCTAGATTATGCAACCAACTACAGAGTTGAGTCCTCTCAGCTGGGGATATTGCAGTCTCAGTTGAGGGAAGCATTGTGCGGGAAGAGATATCTGCTTGTGCTGGATGATGTTTGGAACGAAGATCAAGATCAATGGGAGATTCTGAAAAATCCATTATGTGGTAGTGCTGATGGGAGCAAGATTCTAGTCACCACTCGCAATCACAAGGTTGCAGCTGTTGTTAGGGCAAATTCAACTTGTACTTTGGAAGGCCTAGCTGAGGATGATTGTTGGACTCTGTTCAGAAGACGAGCTTTTGCTGATGACGAGGAATTGCAATATCCATTCCTATTTCCCATTGGTAAGCAGATTGTCAAGAAGTGCAAAGGAGTGCCCTTGGCAGCCAAGATCCTAGGAAGCCTGATGCGCTTCAAGAGGGAGGAGAGGGAGTGGTTACATGTACAAGAGAGCGAACTGTGGGATTTGGATGATGGAGAGAACAGACTTCTATCTGTCTTGAGGTTGAGCTATAATCACTTGCCATCACATCTGAAACGGTGTTTTGCATACTGTTCGCTTCACCCTAAAGGGTATGAAATAAACAAGCAGAAGTTGGTCCGGTTGTGGGCAGCAGAAGGCTTGATTGCATCCGAGCACAGTGGTAATGTCTCCTTCAATGATTTACTGCAAATGTCTTTCTTTCACCAAGTAAGTAGCACTGAGCATAGCAAGAGAGTAGAATATAAAATGCATGATCTCATTCATGATCTTGCAAAATCTATTGCTGGGGATGAATTCTTGACACTAGGGCATAATAGCTTGCTTGGTGGTTTTGGAAAAAGTCAAAACCTTAAGGCAGCTAGTAACAATCTAATGCAGATTCGTCATGCTGTGGTTGATTGTAATTTTAAGACATCTTTGATCCCCGAAACCTTGTACAAGGCAAACAAATTGCGTACCCTTAATTTGCTGTCTCCAATGGATGATTATGGGCAAATTCTGCCTGCAGTTATTTCGGCCTTTAGACATCTCAGAGTGCTGAATCTGAGTGGATGCGAACTTGAAAAGCTGCATAGGTCAATTGGTGGATTGATATATCTGAGATATCTTGATCTCTCTAACACTCTTATTGAAACCTTACCAGCAACGGTAGGCCAACTATGCAATTTGCAGACACTTGACCTCTCAGGTTGCAACAATCTCAGGATGCTGCCAAGTGAAGTGACAGATCTGATGAATCTGAAGCATTTGAATATAAATAACTGTGGAAGACTTGCTCACCTGCCAGAACATATTGGGAAGTTGTGGAAACTTCGGACACTGCCACTCTTTATTGTTAGGCATCCTGAAGGGGAAGATCTAGAGGGACTCGGGTATCTGTTCCTTGAGGGTGAGTTGAGTATTAAGTGCTTGGCGATTGTACAAAAAATGATTGACAAGTTACCTGATAATCTTTTGTTGTATCAAGGACTGGAGTCACTTAAACTCTCGTGGGGGAATGATAATGAGGGCAAATCAGAGCATTACTCATTTGATCAACTAGTTGGAGGTCAACTGAGTGCAGATTCAGTAGTTTTGCTTGAAAAGCTGCAGCCAAACAAAAATATATCAAGGCTATCAATAAAAGACTACCCAGGGTCAACCTTTCCACAATGGATAATGAGTCCAGAATCATGTATACAAAATCCAAGTTTCCAAAATCTCAAAGAGCTGGTTTTGATCAACTGCAGAAGATGCACTAGTGTACCTACTCTTGGGAAACTTCCATCACTTGAATATCTAAGCATACAAGGAATAGACACTGTGGTAAATATTGGTCAGGAATTCTATGGCGAAGGTAATGCGGCATTCTCATCATTGAAACAACTTACACTCAAAGATTTATGCATTTTGAAAGCCTGGGAAAGGGCGGATACCATGGAAGCATTCCCTTGCTTGAGCAGATTAACCATCATTAAATGCCCTTCTTTGACAACCATGCCCTGGTTCCCTTCTCTTCAGCATTTGAAATTTCGCAACTGCAGTCCTATGTTATTAAAGTCAGCAGCAGAGTTATCTTCACTCTCTACACTTGTAATTGATGTATTTCCAGAGCTCGCATATCTACCACCGGGGTTGCTGCAAAACAATACTTCTCTAACAGCTTTGACAATAAGTTCCTGCCCCCAGTTAAGTTCATTGCCATGGGATTTGACGAAGCTCGAAGCTCTAAAATCTTTGACCATTCGTTGGTGTGAGCAGCTATCCATGTTGCCCCAAGGAATAAAGCACCTAACTTCTCTGGAGTCTTTGGAGATCATTGAGTGTCCCAGTCTAGTCACTTTGCCAGAGGAAGGCATGAAGGGTCTGCAGTCTCTCTGTTCTCTTTCCATTGAGAACTGCAGCAGTCTTTCTTCTCTGCCTGTAGGAATAAAATACCTTTCAGCCCTTGAGCACCTAGCTATCATGTACTGTCCAAATTTGACATGCATACCAGACAATCTGCAACATCTCTCGACCCTCCGAAGACTAAATATATTGAGCTGTCCAGAGCTTGTGGTTCTGCCTGAAGCCCTAAGGCACGTTACATCGTTGCAGAACCTGGAGATTCGCAGCTGTCAAAATCTGAAGGAATTACCAGAATGGTTATCCTCCCTCATCTTGCTACGCTCACTGGCAGTTTCAGACTGTCCAAGCATAAAATCACTACCAGATGGTTTAAAGCATCTCAGTGCACTCCAACATCTGTCAATTAGAGATTGTCCCGACCTTGAAAAACAGTGTGAGAAAGGTACAGGCGAAGGGTGGTACAAGTTATCTCACATCCCGTATGTTTACATTGGTTCGCCACCATCATAGCATGGAGTTGAGATTGTATCTATTTATTTGGATCTTTCACAGAGATGCATCCAGTCCTCACACAATTATTTTGCTCTCACAATGTTCTGATCAGCAAATTAATTGAATATTGTCATGAGGAAATATTCTTTATAGCATGTTAAGGAGATTATTCCCAGATTTTTTGCTTCCAATTCTAAAAAATTGAGCTTCCAGAAGTTGGACAAGCCGAATGGTATACCATGGATGTGATGCCTGTCCTAAACCCCAGAAAATAGTTAAAACATAGGGAACTTGACCAAGAAAGCCAAGAGCTCTGGAGTATATACCGCCTTGGTCAAGGATACATCAACACCCCTCCTCTTTAAACATGCCATTGTTTTCCAGGCAACAAAGAAACATCACACATGTCCAGGCAATTATATTGACAAATAACAAGGATACCATTTGCATTCCAAAATTATGACCGAAAAAAGTTTCACTGATATCCTCCTAATCCTGTGTGAAATATAAATAGTACACCTTAAGGGACACCCTCTAAATTGCAGAATTATGCCTGGAACTTTTATTTTCTAAGAATTAAATAAAGTTACTCGTTTAAGCTCAAAAAGACTAAGACTCGTTGGATGAAGCCGCCGCATCATCTTTGTGCTTTATCATACCAGAATCCACAAGAATGGGAATCTCTGCTGCAAGCCATGGAGCAAGACCCAAACAAAGTGCATGTGCAATACCAAAACGAGGACTGCAAGAAAAAAAACAGAAATTGATGGAAATTTTCAAATAATCCACATTCCACATTTCAAATGAAGAGTTAAAAACACCATGATCATATGTTCACAATGACTAGCATGGGGGTCTCAACTTCATCCAGGATACAGGTCACCAGAACAAACAACTCAGTTGAAGAAATTCAAGGAAAACTAAAAGCAAGAGAATATTAATGAAATTATAGAAAACTAAGTACAGTAGATAAAAATTTTAAGATTTTCTGACAAGAAGCTACAGAATTAATGCAATTGCAAAACCATCAACATTCAATTCCAAATAGATCTCCAAAAAAATAAAAATTGGCATACCAATTTTTTGCCCAAAGTGGCTTGAAATGCACAGTCAGACAAATCTTTCCTCCTCTATACATCTGCAACCACCAGAAGATTTCTTATTAATCCAAAAAAACAGAAAGAGACAGAGATATGAATCAACTATTACAAAATAAATAAGGAAGTTAAAAGGCAACACCTTCTGCGTCTTCCCGTCAAGTTGTGGCAGCTCAAGCTCGGGAGCAGTGGCAGGGTACGTGACAGGAATATCGAACTGGAGATCAAACTCGTACTTGAGAAGGTTGTGAACGTACCAACACTTTCCGGTCCAACGCGTCCCTTCGGAATTGGCTGCGGAGATCCGGAACCAATCGTTGTCGTTGGACTTGTTCATCTGTGTGTAGGCGATCAGAGCCCTGTACTCCTCCTTGAGCCTCTGCGTCCACGCCGCGCCGTCCCTAGGGCCGGCCTTCGTCGCCAGCAGCGGGATCTGGGTGAGCGTCGACTTCGTGTTCGGATCCCACCCCTCCATCTTGAGCTCTCCTTTGTCCCCTCTACAAACCCTAACGCTGGAATTTATCTTGTGAAATGACCGAGCAGCCACTATCTGTTATGGTCTCCGTGACGGCGGAGAGTTCGTTAAATACTCCGTTTGTTTTTCCCGGGAAAGTCTGTTATTTCATGTGATTAACGAGGGTATAGATGGAAAAATGAAACTGCGCTCGAAAGCATAAATCAGAACCTATAATGGGCCGACAATTTTCTGATTGAACACTTCATATATATTGGGCCGTCTAATTGGGCCAACACAGGTAGTTAGCCACCCAAAAATTCATAGCCAATGTTCTTTGTTTTACCAACGAGGGTTGGATCAAGTGGTAAGCGGCTTGTTCCAGCTTAAGCAAGGTCTCGAGTTCGAGTCCTTGCGTACGCAGCAGCCTTCGTTGGGAGACTCACCCACCATTTCCAGGTGCGCGACCCGGGTCAGGTCCGGATTAGTCGAGGCGAAGCCTCGGATATCGAGCGGGAAACCGAAGAAAAAAAATGTTCCCTGTTTTGGCTTGGAGGACCGCGTTCTTTTGTTGAGGCAGCGACCCCACAATTTTGGGGTACAGAGAAGAATGAAATGGAGGATTTACGCTGTGTTCACTTTTTTCTTGTTGTGGAGGCTAATTAGAGTACTGTTATTTAGACCAAAG